CCAGAGGTGAATTTACATGTAGTTCGTGAAACTTCAGCTTCAGGGACCCAAACACCCCTTCCACATCCAGGGAGGAGCCAAACAGTGCATTCCCAAGAACACATACTTCTGTGAGGAGCCCCTTCCCCACCAAACTGCAAAGAGACAAGGCCCCTGAAACATGGGTCTGTCCCTACACTTCCCCCTAAGAATCACAGCACCCCCTCCCCTTCTATCAAAATATAAATTGGCATAATATTGTATTAGTTTAAGGTGTAGAACATGATTTCGGGGGGAGAGAAAGAGAGAGAGAGAGAAATGATCACCACAATAAGTTTAAATAACATCCATTACCTCACACAGTTACACATTCTTTTCTTGTAATGAGAGATTTTAAGACCTACTCTCTCAGCAACCTGCATATGCAAGATGACATTATTGGAAATTAGTCACCATCCTGTATATTACATCTCCAGGACTTCTTTTTCTTTTTTTTTTTTCAAAGCGGATATGTATTTGTGAATTTTAGAGAGAGAGGAAGAGAGAAAGGGAGGGAGGGAAAGGAAGAGGGAGGGGCAGGGGAGGGGCAGGGGGAAGGAGAGGGAGAGACAGAGACATCAATGTGAAAGAGAAACATCAATCAATTGGTTGCCTCCCATACCTGCCCTAACAAGAGATCAAACCTGCAAATTAGGTATGTGCCCTTTTTAAAAAATATATATATTTTTACTGATTCAGAGAGGAAGGGAGAGGGAGAGAGAGAGAAACATCAATGATCAGAGAGAATCATTGATTGGCTGCCTCCTGCATGCCCCTACTGGGGATCCAGCCTGCAACTAGGCATATACCCTTGACTGGAATCGAAACCAGGACCCTTAGGTCCACAGGCCGAGGCTTTCTCCACTGAGCCAAACCAGCCAGGGCTAGGTACATGCCCTTGATGGGAAATTGAACCCACCACCTTTTGGACAAGGGCTCCAACCGACTGAGCCACCCGGCCAGGTCAGGGCTTATTTATAACAGGAAGTTTGCACCTGTGACCACCTTCATCCACCCCCCCATCCCCAACCCCTAGCCCCCACTCCTAGGATCGCACTCTTGAACTGCAATTTTAAGACTCAGCCCTGTCACATGGAATTCAGCAATGTTTCTTCTCTTCATGATCTTCACACCCACTCAGACTCTCCACGAACAGGTGGCATGCGCACCACACGCACGGACAGGGACCGGACAGGGACCTACCTGGGAGAGTAGGGCACGGCCGGCGGTGGAGGGATGTACAGGTCCAGGATGGCCGGCTTTTCCTTCTTCAGGGAGGTGTCCATGGTGCTCTCGGGAGACTGGGACGTGGTGGGCGGAGGCGAGGTCTGGAATAGGAGCAGGTGCACAGGGTGGAGGTGACCTCCGAGAATGCTCTTGGCGCTCGTCTCCCCTCCCCAAAGCCAGCGCCACCTTCCCCCACTCCCCACCCCGGGTAACGAGGCCGCAGATCGGTGCGTGCTGACAGCTATTAGCAACATTCAGCTTGCTTTGTCTCTGAGACATTCACCATTCACTGGGAGTCCCGAAAGACTAGATGCTTAGTGAGAAACAGGTTCGCAAACCGGGTGCCTGGGTTAAAATCCTAGCTCTGAGCAAATAATGTAACCGCCCGTGCCTCCGTTCCCCCCTCTGAAACAGCCATACTGACAGCACCTCTTGCACAGGGTGGCAGTGAGGATTGGCCGAGTGAGTGAATACAAATCGCTATGTTATCATTGACTGGGAGCGTGAGCTTCGAACTCAGACAATCTGGGCACCATCCTGTCTATGCAGGAGGATATGTTCCAGGACCCCCGGTGGATGTCTAAAACCTTGGACAGTACCAAACCCTATGTAAACTATACTTGTTCTATACATGCATACCTATGAAAAGTTTAATTTATAAATTAGGCACAGTAATAGATTAATAACAATAAGTAATAATAAAATAGAATAATATCCTATATAATAAAAACCTAGTATGCAAATCAACTGAACGGTGGAACAACTGGTGCTATGATGAGCACTGACCACCAGGGGGCAGGTGCTCAATGCAGGAACTGCCCACTGGTGGTCAGTGAGCTCCCACAGGGGGAGCACTGCTCAGCCAGAAGCCGGACTAATGGATGGTGAGTGCAGCAGAGGTGGTGGGAGCCTCTCCTGCCTCTAAGGCAGCTCTAAGGACCCCAAGGGGGATTTTTTCCCCCCCCCGCTTAGGCCCACTCCCCAGGGAGCGGGCCTAAGCTGCAGGCGGAAATCCCCAAGGGGTCCTGGACTGCGAGAGGGCACAGGCCGGTCTGAGGGACCCCCCTCGCCCCCCAGTGCATGAATGTCATGCCCCAAGCCTCTAGTACTGTAATAAAAATTATGTGAATATGGTCTTCCCCCCAACACCTGTCACAAAACCTGGCTGGGGTGGGGGGCATGTCTCATCACACACTCCTGCAGGAGGGCTGTGGTGCCCGTATACCCACAGGCCCAGCGGGCCCAGCTGCCATGAGTCGGCTGCTAAAAGCTGTCCCCATCTCTGGAGAATAGCCCTCGGCTGGCAGCTCCCCTTCTGAGCACAGCTACAGGAGCCGGTGGCTCTGTGGTTCCACCTGTATAACAGGCTGAGGCTAGGCTATACCTGAGACGCTACCTTGCTGGCTTCCGGCTCCTTATCTGCCTGCCTTCCTCCCTCACCTGAAGCACATGTCCTCAGAAATCAGTTTCACAAGCATCTGTCACACGTTCTGCTTCTAGGAAACCTTGCGTCAGACACACCCTTCCCCGATGGCATTTGTGGGTGCGCCTCAACAATAGCGTTTGTCTCCTCTAGGACATGCCTGCCCATCTGCCAAACCCCGCCTGGCGTTCCAGGCTCCAAAGTGCTCCCACCTCCACGGGAAGGGTGCCTTACCCACCCGGCCCACCCCTCTCTCCCCTTCTTCAGAGCCTGACTTCTGTTCTGGGTACCCAGCAGCTGGCAGTCAACCCATCATCTGCCAATGATGAAGGAAGACCTCTGAGATGTCATGTACCACTTTCTGAGAATCCCCCAAAATTGAAAGATGTTACACCTTGGACTGAGCAATGCACACAGAAGCATCAGGGGTGAGGTTGATATGCTCACTTATTACTTAAGAAGGGATTTGAATTCCATGCCCCTCCTTGCTCCACCCTCCATGTCCTGTTATTTAACACCACACACACACACACGGAACACAGTAAATGCGCTCCCAGTGTTCTGTGCATCACCAAGTATCCAAATGGACGGCTTGAGATTACTACCGTTCCTTCCAGTTGAAGATTTGGCAAAAAATCAGTTACATACAAATTGCCATCCTAATCTTAGAAAAGGGCAAAGGGCATTCAAATGTCGTTGCTTTTCATCCATGTTTTAGGAAACAAAGGCTAAGGACTGATGTAAATAATAAAACTCGCTAAAACTCGGTCTGCTTCTTATTATCACCCAAGACTGGCAATTCTAAACGACGTCTAAACAATGGATGACTGCTTGCACCTTGTGGATTATTCCCACCGTCCCCCCACCCCCCCACCCCCATCCCCCCACGCCCAAACTCAGCCCCACGTGGTCTCTCTAAGGTTAGCCTTGAAACTGGAAACCTTATGTCAGTGTGCATTGAAAGTGAGTGAGAGGGCCGAGAATGAACTTGGTGCAGCGAAGGCAGACCCCAGCCACAGGTGGCTCCCAAACATCTGAAATGTGGCCAGTGAGCCGGAGGAACGGGACTGTTAATTGTATCTAAATAGTCACACGTGGCGAGTGGCTACTACATTGTTCGGTGCAAAGCTAGACTGTATTTTCATATAAGTAGGGTTCCAGGAGAATTACGCATGCTCAGACTCCTGACACCAAGCTCCTCCCAATTCTCATCTTGCTTTTTGGGGACAATTCAGACACTTAGCACTGTCCAGGCCCTGCCACCAGGCGAAGGCTTACCCCCGCCAATGGGAACGGACCACATACCTGCACGAGAGGCGGCTTCCAGCGCAGGTTTTTCAGGGGCGCGGGGGTAAAGTGGAAGGAACCCGTGGGGCGCTTCTTCAGCAGTAACACGACTCCGGTGGGATTCTCCCTCAATTTCTTCACCAGGTTTTTTAGCTGCCATCCCACCTTCAAAGACAGAAAACGAAGAGAGGGGACTCACTCAGAAATAAGGCCAAAAAAAAATAAAATATAATCTATGAATGTGTCTCAAGGATAGAGACATATTGGTGAGCAAATAGATACAAATAGGCTGATACAAATATGTTCATCTTAGCACTACTTAGAATGATGGAAAATGGGATATAAAGTGAAAAATTTAAAAAGTCAAGCACAATGGCTCTGGATTTAGTTAAAAGTTCTAGAGGGGAACATTAAGTCTTAATTCACAGTGAAAAACTCACCACAGTTTGCCGATTAACCTGAATGACTTCATCGCCAGCATGAATCTTCTGGGATCTGTCTGCAGGAGACTATTAGGAACAAACAGAGAGACGCGTCTTATTTTTTTAAGCTTTATATTTCTTTCTGCTTTCACTTCTTCCTCCTTCTTTCTTCTGTAGACAATGAGCAATGGAAATATAATTTTCTCAAGAAATTTATTACATGGTGTACATGTGTTCCCTGCAACTACATCGTCTGTAGAACATGGCGAATGAATACTTGTGTTATCTTTTATCCGGGGTCTGTTATAACAGACAATCTGCCAGTTACAACAGCCAGAGTCACATCACCTACCAGAGAGTGGGGCACACTGACGACATGATGAGCTGACAAAAGCCAGTGGTTCATCTAAAAGACACCTCACCTTTACTCTTAACAAAGTTAATCTTGTGAAAGCTGACCTACTGTTTAACATGTGAAGACCATCACTCCATCACTGTGTCATCCCACCTCCTAGTAAGTGATTGTTAAAGCTAAATCTTATGGTTCCTCAACCTTGTTTTACAGGTTGTCACAGTGGTATTAGAATAGAAAAACGGTGAAAAGAGAAAAATTTGTTAGAGACAAGTTTAAATTCTTTTCATTTTCAGATTGAATTCAAAATAAACACATTTCAGGTGTCAAAACAAACTTCCAGACTTTGTTTTGCCAAATAATAGTTTATTAAAAATTTGCAAATATAGATATATTCACATGTGTGTACATATAGATATATTGATTAATCTACTTGTAAAATATTTTTCCATAGTATTTTTGCTCATTTAATTGAACTAGAATCATTTATAATTAAAATATATTATATGGCCTGGCTGGTGTGACTCAGTGGTTGAGCATCAACCCATGAACCAAGAGGTCTCCTGGTTCAGGCCCATGCCTGAGTTGAGGGCTTTATCCCCAAGGAGCATGTAGGAGGCAAAGGAGCATGCAGGAGGCAGCTGATCAGTAATTCTCTCTCATCATTAATGTTTCTACTCTTTCTTCCTCTCCTTTCCTCTCTCTGAAATCAATTAAAAACAACAACAACATATTTTTTTAAAGAAGATATATTATATGAACAAAAGAGAAGGAAAAGATAAGCCTTTGATTTCAAATGATAGTCAAATGTTGTCTAGGCCAGAGTATTTTATTTGGTACCTTATATAACTGGCTGAATCACCAACAATTTACAACTCTCCTTAAAAAAAAAAATAGCACCTCTGAACAGGGCCGGGGGTGGGGCTTCTGAACTAAACTCAAGACATACTTGCTTTATTTTCTCACTCAACTGTTGTGACAGGCTCAACAAGAAATGAGCAAAAGCAGCATGAAACTGAGGAAACGTTCCCTTTGATTCATTTAGGTCCAACACAAAGCACAGGTGTGACTGTTGTTTGTAAAAAACATTTAACATGCTGCCATGACAACCAGCAGCGCCTCACCTGAGAGACTAGCGTGGTGGAGAGCAGAGGGAGCTGGCCTCACTCCAATCTCTCTCTTGAGAGAATTAAAAATAAATGCACGTGTCAATGCTCCTTCTTGCCCTGTGTGTCAGGTGCTTAACCCACAGAGACAGACCGACTTTTCCAGTTCATCTTCCTGGGCTAACGATTCCTTTAAGGTAAGCATCACATTATAAAAGATGGCCTTGAGGCCAGGGAGCCCCTGTTTACAGATGTGCAATCTTAAAAAAACAAGCCAATGTCCTGAATTGACTCCCCTTGCTAAGGATCTCCATGCATTCATTTCTCAAATGACCTACCAAGTGATTAAGGGCTGCGCTTGGCAGAACACTGGTAAAGAGAGAGCCCGATACCAAAAGTCTCCCCAGGGCAACAGCCCTTGCCTATCTTCACCAGGAGGCGGGCTGCTGAAAAACGATGCTTGTTCTGGTTTGCGGCAGAAGGGTGATGACCTGAAGAAGAATGTATCCATTCTTCAGAAGCTAATCTAATGCCCACCTCATCTCAGGGGGCCAGGGGGGACAGGAGTATGTCAAGACTCCTGTAAAGGTTTTGACCAACATCAAAAAAGAAGCCTGATAGAGAATCACTAGATACTGTTCAGCCTGACCTTGAAAAAATTACAGTGGCTTCTCAGATAACCTCCAAAACAAAGGCGGGGGGGAGGACTGGGGGACTGAGATGGCCCCTGGCATTGCTTCAGCCTGGAGTCCAAGGTAGAGGACTATGGAAACCATGGGTTTGGCAATGCAGTGGCTGATTTCTGCCCACTACCACCCACCACAGGCTTCCATGAAGACATTCTGACTGTGAAGTCACTGAGAGCTTAAGTGACAGCTGGAAAGCTGGCCCGTGGCTGGCACTTTCATCCAGCATGAACGGTAAAATATCCAGATGAAGCCCATGAGCAGTGGACTCTTACCTAACCTCCCACCCTCATCTACAAGTCTTAGCGAGTGCTCAGCACATTCCAGGAACTCAGTGAATATGGCTAAAAGTCTGAAAGAATGAATGACATTCTCAAATGGATTACCAAATAGGATAAGACAAGTGTTCATTTTTTTTACCTTTAACTGGATGGAAACCACCTCTCTCTGGATGACTTGGACCAACTACCCTGAATCACTCATCCAGTCTTATGAGTCTGGTAGGAATTCTAGGAAATGTATCATGACGTTTGAGATTTCCTTTGGTTCAAAAGCAACTTATTTAGTCTCCCATTCAACTCTCATCCTTCAAACAAAAGGGGGGTGCATTTTGAAGACAAAAAATCTTTGTGCCTTCTGAAAAAATGTTATAGTGTTCTACACATATATCTAAGATTGAAATGGCTTCAGGACCAGAGAGAATTTGGAACCACACAGGTCTGGTTGTTAATTCAATCACCAGATCGCCAGTGCAAAACTTCACCTCAAAAAACTGAAATAATATTCACCGTCCTTCTGAATCCATCCAACCCTAAAACAATGCACTGAGCGGTACACGAATATATTCTTGTCATGGTGCAGCTGAAATATAAAAAATGCCAGATAAAGATAAGAGATGAACTGTGTAATCCTTATGCATATTTTTCTTTTGCACCCTCCCCAGCCTAAAAGCAGTACTGTTACTGCCTATCAGGTGAGGTGGTATAAAAATTCCTAGTGATGCCCAGGCCGGGTAGAGTGTCGTTCCGATATGCCAATGTTTCAGGCTAGACCCCTGATAAGGGCCCATACAAGAGTCAACCAATGAATGTATTAATAGGTGGAATAACAAATCAATGCCTCCTCTCTCTCTCTCTCTCTCTCTCTCTCTCTCTCTCTCTCCCCCCCCCCTCTCTCTTCCCCTTCCCATATCTCTCATTCAATAAAAAAAAACCTCCCAGTGGTTCTCAGTATAGCTCAACAGAGAACGCTTAAAGACACTACCATCTTCTACTTTTCCATCTGCCAGAACCACACAATTTATCTATAATTCATTGACTGCCTTAAGCAATGTCATTTTCTTACTACAAAAATCAACTGTGTGTCACAAACTCTCATCAAAGTTCATGCCATTTTATTTTATCAAAAGACCTAGCAGCTGAAGCTCTAAATTCAACACATATTTTCACCAGATTAGAAAGTCGGTACCAAACTTCTTCTATTTTAAGAAATCATTTCCTCTTGTCTTAGTTGATTAAACAGTAGATTAATTCCACAGACACAGGCTTCCTTTACACAGATCCTGGAAGCTAGTCAAACACTCTAAGTTTCATATCAATGTCATTTAAAAGCTAGCCATATTATAGGTTGCCAAAAAAAAAAAAGCATTCACTTAGCTCTACTTCTCACAAATTCAAAATGTTTGAAGGGCTATAAAGAAATACCATTCATGTAGCAGAATTTCCAAAAGAAAGATGACAGTGTACAAAGTCTCTTGCAGTAGAAATAGCCTTGCTCTTTCTATTCAAAAGGCTGGGGGGGACCTAAATTGCATTATCATGCCAAATATTATGAAAAACAACTCTACAAAAAGAATCTATGTCATGCAAACATCCCAAAATAGTTGCTTTGGTGACACATAAATTCCACTGAACCAAAAACACACACCATATTTTACACATCTGCTTACCAATTCTGTTGAGTGATTCTCGACAGCAAAGAGATCATTGTTTTTGTATTCACGCATGAACACTTCCAGGGTGCAAAAGGAATACTTAACACAAGGGGGTGGGGGTAGAAACTGGGCAAGGTACATGAACAAGAGCAATAAAGGGCAATTTAAATAATAAATTGACAGCAGCTGGTGATAAGCAGTGTGTACTAGCAACAGAAATAAGCAACACGGGCACCCACGCCCTCCCTACAGATAACAAAACAGCGGGCACACATTCAAATGAAAAGCGTGGGTCTCTGTGTCTAATTGGCTTAAACATCCAATAGCTCTTCCAGTTAACGGACAGGCACTTACGTTCTCCGTGGTTCCAGTGATCACGTGCAGTCCATCGTAGGTCGATTTGATGTACATGCCCTAGAGGGAGTCACAAATACATTAACATTCAGAAATGCAGCCGCAAGTGGGACTTGAGCTTATCAAACATTAAAGGCAGTCCCTGCAGAACAATACTCATTGTTAAGCCTCCTGAAACATTGTGAAACACGACCCTGAGAGCCGCGAAGGACAGCTACGCCAACCGAAACACTCGTGAAAGCAATGGGAAGCGGCATCTCTTTGATGCTGTCGCTTGTGTCCCAGGCACCCCGAATTTTGCCATAGCTCTGGGGACTTGGAAGGAATCTTCTCAGCCCCGCAGCATGAATGAGGCCTTTCAAACGAGGACTGTTCTTTCCTGACCACCTCTTTGTCTGGCGACACAATATAGTCAGTTACATTTGAGATCAGCAGTCGTGGCAGGGGACTTACTCAAGCCACGAACAACCCAGACCAGGATTATGAACGAAGATGGTTACCAACACTACAGAGGAAGTAAACTAGGAGCAGGCACCCTTCCGTTTTTAAGATACATACACTCCTTCCTAAAGGGCCTTCGAGGCACACTCAGAAGTGAATTCGCCATGTCAGCGAGGACACGTTTCTGCAGTTTGACATGTCAGATATAAAAAAATGTTTATTGAACTTTTTAGAAAATATATTTTTATTGATTATATTGACTTGGGAGAGGAAGGAGGGGAGAGAGAGAGAGAGAGAGAGAGAGAGAGAGAGAGAAACATCAATGATGAGAGAGAATCATGGTTGGCTGTATGCCCCCGATGGGGATCGAGCTTGCAACCCGGGCATGTGCTCTGACTGGGAATCGAACCGTGACCTTCTGGTTCACAGGCTGATGCTCAACCACTGAGCCACACCGGTTGGGCTACTGAGCTTTTATAAGATGGGGAAAGAGAGCAGAAAGTTGATTGGGCAAAGAGTAGTGGCTCAAATAGGTATCAATACCACAACAGCGTAGATCCTCCCAAGAAGTCATTTTGACCCTGAACTCGCCCTACTCAGCCACCCACACCCTCTCCAATGAGAACCTCCTCAAATATGACACCTTCAGGGTCTCCCCACTCCTCTCCTTTCTGGTTGCTTTCATCCTCAGAGTGAGCAGCTTCTCCCCACATGCAGTACTCCTCCGCCCAGAGCACTGCCATAACTTTACCGTCTGAAATGGCAGCTCCATTTCTGCCCACTCAGGCCATTTCTCCGCTTCATGTACCTATAAACTCCCCCTAAGAAACCTTCCTGCCCAGTCTGTTATAATCCACCATTCACTCTGAAGCTGAGCAGTCTCCGCATACATAGTTCTACTTAATGAGAATGAGGGCTTGTCGATGTTGGGTTGCTTTTTGGTTTTCTGTCTGAGAGCAGAGACTGCCTTGATATCTCCACACAGCTGCTAGGCACTCTCTCTCCCTCCTCCTCCTATTCTCCCTCCTCCACCTGTTCCTCACTGGCTCCTCCCCATTCTCCTCCTCCTCCTCCTCTCCCTCCACAGCAGCTACAGTAGCCATAGCCACCAACCACTGCACCTGTACTATGTGTCCAGCATCTGGCACTCAGCAGCCATCATCTGACTTAATGCTTTCAACAACCCTGTTATTATTATTCTCTTTTGACCGAGGAGGAAACCGCCACGTAAAGAGGTTAAATCATTTGCCGGCTGGTGTTAAACCCTGACCGAAAGCCTCTAAGCTCACCCATGGGCCTCAGGGTTTCTTCACTTAAACTTCAGCATGTTAAGCGCATGGGCTGCATGCCAGGGACCGGGCAATCCAGGTGTCCAGGCGCTGAGCTAGGCAGCGAGGCATCTGCCTGTGTGTATTCTCGGGGCCTGGTGTTACAGCGCTCAGACATGACCAGTGAAGCATTTCTGAGTGTTTTTTTAAGAGTCACTCCTTCCAAGCAGCCTCCTCTCCTCCATCCTAAGCGCTGACACTTGGGGAGCACAGGCTGCTCTGCACCCAGAGACCAGCTTTCCTCTGTGCAACTGTTGTCTATGTCCCTGCATGGCTAAGTCCTCGAAGGAAAGCTGTGGAGACAATCCCTTCAAGGTCTGAGTGGGCAGTTTTCAACCTTATTTATTTTTATTATTTTTTAAATTTTACTTATTTAATGGATTGGGGTGAGACTGGCCCACATGAACATGCGTGGATTTCGATGCTACAAATCTGTATATTGCACCATGTGACCACCACCCAAAGTCAGATCTTATTTTTATACTTTGAAGCCACAAAACCTACCAAACAGGTCAAGATGGCAAATTCCTAGCGACATGACGGGAGACGGTCTAGTGAAAGCAAGGGGGCATCATGAAAAGGCTTTCACACATGACGGCGTGTGACTGCTGCCAGCGTGCTTACCAGGCCTTCCCCGGGTCTGACGTTCGGCAGGTGGACTTCCTCCAGGCACGCACACTGGCTCATGACAGGGTCCGTGGTAGAGCGGATTGTTTTGTCACAGATGCCATTCAAAACCTTGACCTAGAGTTGGAGAGGCAAAGCGTCAGGAAAGGCTCAATCATTAACCAGGTTTATCTGGAGTTGAGTTTTAAAGCAACGCGCTTCGCCTATCATCTTTAGCTCTGGCCGGCAATCATTTCCACAACCGCTCCATGAACGCACGGCACTGTAACTCCATGTTTATCAGCATCTGTGGGAATGTGCCACTCTCAGCTCTGCCTCAAAAGGGCAGCTTTCCTATTATCTCGTTTACAGCCACTCAGGCACCGGCTGGCAGGCAGAGAATCGATTCCCAGCCCTCTATAACTTTTTAGTGATCATTCACATTCTCTGCATACCAAATAGTGACAAGGGTCAAGTCTTTTTACCTGCCCCTGTTTTATTTTCATCGGTTTTGTCTTTCAAGCAGTTCTCGGTTTACAGAAAAACTGAACAGAAAGTGCAGAGTTCCCCCATACTTTCTTTTCCACCCAGTTTCCAATAGTTATATTATTATAGTATAATTAATAATAACAAGATATCGTTAACATCTTGCATTAGTGTTACATTTGTTGCAGTTGATTAACCAATATTGAGAGATTATGATGAACTGAAGTCCACAGTTGACACTGGGTTCTCTTTTGTGCTGTACAGGTCTATGGGTTTTGACAACTGTATGGTATCCTGTATCCACCATGACAATATCATACAGAATAGTTTCTCTGCCCAAAAAATCGCCTGTGCTCCACCTCGTCATCTCTCTCCCCCTCCCCCATCATGAATCCCTGGCAATCACTGATCTTTTTAGTCTCCATGGTTTTGTCATTTCCAGAATGTCAAATAGTTATAATTATACAGCATGTAGCCTTCTCAGACTGGCTTCTTTCACTTAGTAACATGCATTTAAGGTCTCTCCATCTCTCTTCATGGCTTGAGAGCTCATGGCTTTTTATTGCCAAATACTCTTCAGCAATAAATTGTGTGGATGGACCAGTTTGTTTATCCATTCAACTACTGCAGGACACCTTGGTTGCTTCCAAGTTTGGGCAGTTATGAACCAAGCTGCTATAACATTCTGTGCAAGTTTTTGTAGATATAAGTGTTTCATTCTTTCAGATAAATACCTAGAATTGCAACTGCTAGATCACAGGGTTAGAGTATATTTAATTTTGTAAGAAACTGCCGGGCTGTTTCCCAAAGCGCTGGAGCATGCGGCATTCCCAGCAGCAACGGGTGAGGGTTCCTGTTGCTCCACGTTCTTGCCACTGTCTGGTGTTGTCGTGTTTTGAACTTTAGTTATTCTACTCAGTGTACAGTGGGGTCTTGTTTTAATTCAGTTCCCTAATGAGACGTGATGTTGAACATCGCTACTGATGCTTCTTTGCCAGCCGTACATCTTTTCTGATGAGGTGTCTGCTCAGATCTTTTGCCCACTTTTTAATTGCATTGTTCGTTTTCTTATTATTGAGGTTTGAGGGTTCTTTGTATATTTTGGATCCAACTCCTCTATCTGATATGTGTTTTTAAAATACTTTTTCCGGTCTGGAACTTATCTTTTCCTTCTCTTATTGCATTTCATGGAGCAGAGTTTTAAATGTTACTGAAGTCTAAGCTCGTCAATTTGTCTTCCATGGTTCATGCTTTTGGTGTTGTACCTCAAAGCTCGTCACCAAACCTCAGGCCACCTAGAATGTCTCTTGTTCCTTTTCCAGGAGTTTTATAGTTTTTGTGTTTTAAATTCAGGTCCCTGATCTTTTTTGACGATGGTGATGCTCGCATTCTTTGAATGCTAAACACTGACAGAGTGAAATCTGGAGACAATGTGAGGATCCCTCGTCAATGGTCTCCGTGTAGAAATCATAGTGGACAATGTGGTCACTCCCTCCAATCAGATCCATCTAACCTTTCAAAATTAAACAACCAAAACAATCAGGAAATTCCAACGAGTGATTTTTTTCCCAAGGGGGAGAATCCAACAAGTGACACTTTTTTAATTCCTCCAATTTGTTTAGCCTCCCTATTTATGGAAAATATATTTATAGCAGTTTCACTGCTAAATTCCTCAACATCAGTAGGAGCAAGGCCTTATCAAAAGAGCACAGGCTAGCTCATGTCAAAAGGAGGAAGCGATGATGAATAGTTACAAAATGCCATTAAACAGCCACAGTACATCCCCCGCATCAGAAGGCTTTTGCCAAGAATTTTTTTTTTTTAATCAAAACCGTCCTCAAGTAAAATCGGCAGATCAGTGTCACCCTGATTAACAGGCTAGCCATCCATTTAAGTAAAACTGCACACTGATGAAATGTTCATAGGAAAAAACAAAAAGCAGAAGAGCGATCCCAATATATCCAAGTTCAGCACAGGAATTTGCACAGTAGTTGGTCTTGTTGTTAAGTAACTTTTATTCTTCCCTTTCCATGTACATGAATAGACCCATATCCCGAAAGCCAATATTTCAAAGTATATCCTGAAGTAACAGACCACAATGCATTTGCTTTAATTCCTGTAATTCTCACTGTTTTGGGAAAGGGAATTTTGCAGTAACTTTGAGAACGTATACTTACTACGGATAGAACTTTATCCTCCATTTCTGCTACGAGACAATCCTAAAGAAGGGAAGAAGAAAAATGAAAACTAAATACAAGAACTAAAATTTTTCTAAAACTATTGGCTTAAGCTATCAGCCAAGATGGTCCCCAACATGTCCCCAACCCTGCAGTCTGAGAAGTCTGGGTGGACAGAAGGATGGATGGAAGAAAGACCTGGATGGAGAGGGCAGAGTGGGAATGGAATGGCCATTCGACTCCTCCTAAGGCTCTGCTCAATCATGATGCAAAGGCCTTCTCAACCCAGGAACCCATCTGACTGATTAACCTAAAAACCTACAAAAATCACTGGGCTGAGATCCACCTGCCAGACCGTGTGGAGAGTAAGACAGAAGCCAAGGTCCACGAAACCTGACGAAGGCTCCCAAATGCGACCCTGGGGCTCAGCTAGCACGGGACCAACAAGCCAGGCGTCGTTAGCTCTGGGCCTGCCTATAAGAATAGCTTTCAAATAAGGGCTCAGCCACCAACGTTTATTTTAAGCACCACTGAGATTACATCAGATATTTCTGTCCTTAACAGATGAGAAGGGTTCAACAAAACATTCATTTAACCCAGTGCCAAAAATGTGGTCTTGAGGTATGCTATTAATGACGTTAAATAAAGGGCTGGAACGCAAAGCATTATTTACTCAGCTTAAGAACAAAAGACTTGAAGCTGCATGAACCGGGTTAGCTGATTATAGGAACCACCATTGTCCTGTCCAGAAGCAGCCAAAGCGAAACTCCCTCCGTTTCTACAACCTGCTGCAGCCCAGGACTCCAGACTAGGAGGCCGCGTGCGTGCAGAAGAAAAGGGAGGCCAGCGCCATTCTTCCGTTTTTTCAGCACCACTAAGTATAATCCCAGGCCGGGGCATTCTAGGGAAGATGCTAATTGTCTGACATACATGGAGGATGTTAATCACCTCAGCTGGAATTGTCAGTTTCCCTTCAATCACCAAGTCATGTGAGGTCACGCGGGAGTGGGGATGGAAAGAGCTACCGGTTTCTACCCTAGGTGATTTTCAGGGTCCTCTTACATTTTTCCAAAAATGTCTCTCCCTGGTACACATGTGAGAAACAATCATAGAAAAGAGCAGCCGAGTGAGAAAAGGGGGATGAAAAGAAACTGAGAAATGCATTTCTACACTGTGAGTCTAATATAAATTCTAACCACGGGAACAGCCTCTATAAAACATGAGTACCAATTAGAGCTCAAAACTGCGCTTTTCCCCCTCCGATTTGAGGGTGGCACGTAACGAGCAACTACCACGATGGCCCATCCCCTGTCAACACCATCTGAAGGACAGATCATTAACTAAATGTCAGCTCTAGAAAAACAGAACCCTTCTGTGCTCTTAGGCCAGAAATGGAACTAATCATTTGTATTTATGACCTTTCCCTACAAATCCTGAAATGATATGAGCACGTCATCACCGGGAGATAATCGCCCACAGGCAGAGAGCGCCTCTCCACGCACCGGGACCCACGAGGCAAGGTGGATGTGTGACCTCACGGCTCCTCATACTTGATCCTCTGAGGGATCCGAGAAGCCACCAAGAACATGGCTTTCTCCCTGTGGTGACAGGGCCACGGGCGGGAGGAACAGCTGGAGTCGGTGTGAGAAAGGGCTCGGCCATGCACGTGGGCCCCCACACCCCTTCCTCCGGGGGGTGCGGGGGAAGCAGCTGTTTGGCACGAAGGCCGTGGAATGGAAAAAGGAGTCCTGGAACCAAGTCCCCTCCTCGTGAGCCAGACAATGGGCTGAGCTCTGTCTCACTGCTCGGTCACCTGGCCCAGCGGACTGGGGCCAGCCTGCCTGGCAGAGCCCCAGCCTGGGCAGCCAGCAGCGGCCCCTCCCTCCACGTCCTTCCCTATGCTGCCTTCTGACTACCTGAGGAGCCCGCGAGTCTGTTTCCCCTCCCCATGCCTCTGTTTCTTTCTCTGGAAGTCAGGGGTGATCAAATCGGCCTCAGAGAGCTGTTGAGAAGTATACGTGGTAACATGTGCCAGACACTCAGTACACAACCGATTCTCAACCAGGACGCAGAAAATGGCCTCCTGGCTTTCTCCTCGCCTGTTTTCAGGGCTAGCCTTGTTTCCACTGTTTTCTTGGGCTTTACATTTCTCATCGCTTTCCACACTGGAAATCAGCACCTGCCACTGTCCTCCTGGCTCTCGCCGTTGTGATTCCAGTTTTCACATCATCGCAATTTTGGGAGGATAGATGGACAGCTTCGCTCCACTTCCCTCCCTACTAAGGTAAACTCAGTTTTTCTCCCAAACCCCCCACTGTGCTTCTATAGTCCTTGGTGTATTGTTTTTTGGGTGCATGTATATATTCCAAATACATATATACATACATTAAAAAAATATTTTGGTCACTATTTATCTTCCTATTACAATTCCCCATCCACCCACCCTTTATTTTTTCTCAACAATACCGTGTAGAAATCTCATCAAATCGCCGGGTAAGGTAAATATTAGCATTTCCATTTTACAGATGAAAAAATTGAGGCTCATACGTTTTTAGTGACTTGTCTGAGGTCCCAGGGCTAATTAAGGGGAGAGGCAGGGTTTGAACCACAAACAAACAAAACAATACCTCTAGTATCCTTTAAATTTGGGTTAAATTTCTCCTAAAAGACAAAATCTCACCAGCTTTTTTAAACACCAGCTTATCTCATTCATTTGAACAGACATTTAAAAACCATGATGTCATGAAACCCCAAAGCCAGGTGAACATGAGGAGGAGACTCAGTGGGTGCCCTGCTCCGGAGGTAACTGGACCCAGACCTCAACCTCCCAGAGGGAGATCTTGTTATCATCACTCATACAATCACCTGTACGGCTCTAAGGAAAACACATCGTCCTAAGACGATGCAGTAAGAGCATTCGGTCCAGACAAACAGCGTCACACTGGCTGGATTTCCCAAATGTCCTCCTCGCCATAAGGGTTACTCTAGCCACATGCCTAAAACAGGATTCCACTCTAATACTTCCGGTACCTTCCCTCCTAAGAACTCCTCTAACTTTATATTTTTGCTTATTTATCTTTTCCTTTTCTTTTCCCCCCAGAGACTGTAAGTTCCATAAAGTCAGGGACACTTTTTTATCTGCTTATTCACTGATATCCCTCCTGCCTCGAAGAGTGGTAGGCACATAGTAAGTGATCAATAAATATTTATGGAAGGAACAGTCCAAACGCCTACAAAGCCAACACCAACCTGCTTAGGCAAAGCAGATTCATCTCCTGAAAACAAATGCCACCTCAGCCTTCAACTTCATCACTTTCTCCTCCTCTCCCTACCCTAGAGCAAGGGTAGCCTGAATTAACAGTCTAGGACCCTTTAAATAAAACACAAGGGCATCTGTGAATGCTGAGAAAGAAGATACCTAGTAAAAAGGGCTCCTGGTGGCTAACTGGGCTCAAATTAACAAAACAAAACAACAGAACCTACCAGCCATTTCTACACAGGGGTCTCTCACACAAACGGCACTTCAGGGAGAAGCCTGCACCGCACTGACTGCCTGCACTGTGTTCGTGCCATCTGAGCCAGCCCTTATAAAGGAGTTCCTAGAATCCTATTTCAACCAATAGGACTGAGGCTTTCGCCATCCAATCGGAGCTGCACAGCTCTGACCAACCAGAGCAGCTTTACTCTCACCAATCAGGGTAGTGCAAACCGTGAGAATATGCAGTCCTCATTTGCATGAAGACAGACCAATCAGAGACCTGGGCAGGGACTTCTGTCTATATAAGCCAGCTCCTCTCTGGCTCAGGAGAGTGCACTTGCCCTTTCCATCAATGACTGAACACTGTTTCCCTGGCTGAGCTGAAACACCAAAGATGTCTGGATGGACAGGAGGGGAGCAGACCAGCGGGGAGAAGCCAGAGCAGACGGGCACAGAATGCAGCAGACCGGCAGGACAGAGCAGAGCCGTTTAGCCAGAGAGGGCCCTGGCCCCAGGGCTGCCTCACAGCCCTGCTTTATCACAATCGAGCTGTTTTACACTAAGTAGTTTTTCCTTCTTCACCACACCCCAAATTGGGGACTCCTATTGGCACTGAATTGGCACCAACAACCATTGTTTGACACACTCATGAGCAAAACATTCCCATTTGCCAATTACAATGTTTAACTTTGACTCTTGCACTGTCCTTTTCATTGATCACAAGTAAATTCTTTTAAAAATCAAAATAGGAGGCAGAATATAGTGGGGAGAGGGAAGCAGAGAAGAAAAAGAAAGCTGAAGGTGTCGGAGAAATAAATATCTTCCCTCACGAATGCCAGGACTCGGTGGCTGGGTGATTAATGTACCGCGAGTGGTATCAGACTGGCTTTGTCAAGATTACTTTACACATCGTAAAACAGAGCAGAAACTCAGAGCCACTTCAGCGGTTCTGCGCTCCTAAGAACATGGCCTGGAAAGCAAGTGATGAAGTCACATGTGCCTTAAGTTCAATGGCTGCCCAGGACTGGACCTCAAAGCCAGACTCCACTCCCCATGTTCCAGGAACAAAAAGAAAGTGCCCGGCCCTTCAGAACTACACCTGTTACGCGGCACAGGCAGCAATGAGCAAAGCACATTCTCTACTTTTTGCCAAATCAGCGGTGGGAACTAATGTGGAATCAGAATTTTAGAAACAAATGAAATGTGAAAAAAGAACAACCTCTTCCTTACATTGTATAGCCTCAACTCCATTCAAAAGTATTTTACAGTGTCTGCTAGGTGCCAGGGAATAGGACAAGAAGTGACCTTAGGAGCTGATGGTCTAATAAGAAATACTTTAAAGTTCAGGTCACAGAAACTAGTTAAAAGTTAGATTGATACACATCTTCCTGGCCCTAGGCCTGGCCAATGAGTTGTGAGTGAAACTGACACGTGTCGTTTCCAAATGAGAACATTCGTCAGCGTACAATCCTCTGAGGTCCATGGTCTCTCTGCCCAGGACAAGGAACAGGAGATGCTGGTTATTCTGCCAGCCTATGTCCTCAAGTGAAGAGCACTGGAGCACCTCCCCAAACTGACCCATTTGGATCTAGATCAGCGGTTCTCCACGCTGATGTTGGGGATTATTTGTTACTGAATCATAACCTAGCTCATCCATCCTGACTGGTAAACCCAACCACCAGAGGTCAAAACGAAAGGAAGACTAAGAACAAAGATTATAGTTAAATTTAGTTACTCCAGAATTTCTATTTTTAAAAAATTAAGTGCTCAAACATTTCAGAGAAAGTGCAGGACCATTCACTCAACTATTTTGAAATTAGAGAAGGTGAAGGCCACTGGTTTGGTTCCATTTTCAGAAACCATCGACTCAATGCCTCTAATTTAAAGGCTTTCATCTCTCCCCAGTTCTAATGGGGGAAACGGAGAGAGAGAGAAAGCATGATGCCTCATACCTGCACGTAACCGTGAAGAAGAGGAAAAGGGAGAGGGGAGGAAAAACCGGTTAGGAGGCCACAGCGACGCACTGACCTTCTGGACTGTGGTGGTCAGGTCCAAGCAGAGCTGAATGATTTTGTTCTTCGTGACTGAGAAGTCCGTGATCCCTGTAAACGGGGCCCTAGAAGGCAAAACATGTTCTCTTTTAAAAAGGGTGGGGGTGGGGGAGGGGACCCCACTGGGATCCCGCACTATGCCGACAAGCAGAGCTCCTCAACAGGCTGGCTTAAATTATGTTATGTAACCATTCCTCTCAAAACACACAAATCAGGCATCTGAATAGGAAAGAGAGAAGTGCTAGACCAAAAAAAAATACATTAAAAATGAGCCAAGAGAATTAACGTCCCTTCAGAAGTCAACCAACAGCCTTCATATGACCAAATCATCATTAATGTTTAACGTCAGTCAAACACGTGAGCACAATTTCGCTCTTCTCTGGGCTGAGGTTAATGTGGCCCTGCCAGTCACTTTCCAGTAACTCTCAAAGGGGACCTGGAGACCTCCCTCTGACCCAGCAGCCTGCAGAGGCCCCGTGGGAGGCAAAGGAGCGGGACGATGGTTCGTGCTCCTAAGACGAAGCACAGGCCTCTGTGCCCCTCGGGCCCTGCTTTCACAGGACAGTCTAGCAACCCGCAACTCACCGGTCCAGCCAAGATAACAAGGCCTTGGCCGCGCCTATGAGCTCCACCACCGAAGTCAGGAACTCGTTGGGGGGCTTGTGGGACGTGTTCCCATCATAAGCTGGACTCTTCCGCCGGCTACTTATGTAATTCTGTAAGTTGTGGGAGGACGCTCGCAATTTCAGAACCAAGTTCTTCATATTGTCGGTTTCAAGGCCATAATTCTGTGGAAAATAAAATCAAACAAAAATGCGAAACAATTAATCGTCTCCAAACTCTCATCATAACTCAAAAGCACACGGAGTAACCTGAATAACTCCTACAATGGCCACAAAGCCCTCTATCATTTATCCACAGTGCTGATCTCACCTAGAATGGCCACACTGTCCTTCCCCCAGCCTACTCTTGCCTCCGGGGCTTTGTTCTTGTTAGTTCCTCTTTCAAAATGGTCTTTGGACAGATCTTGGAAGGGACAGGCCCCTCTCACTAACATCCAAATTAGCCCAAATGTCCCCGCTCTTCTTTGAGGCTTCCTGGACTATCTAGAGCAGAGTTCTCAACCTGGGTCCTACTGACACTGAAAGTCCGATGACTCTGTGGGTTGTGGGAGGAGGATTCTGTACATGGCAGGATGTTCAGCTGTCCTATCCTCACTAGATAGCAGTAGCACCCCCCTCCCTAGTTGTGACAACCAAAAATGTCTGCAGACATTGCCAATACCCCTCAGGTCACCCCCTGGCGCCTCACCTGTCACCTCCCTGAACCATCGTATTTGCTGCCGCCATCCTCACTGGGATGCAGGGCCAGCGAGGGCCGGGGCTGTGTGCGCAGCTCACCACTGTGTCTCCAGCCCAGCAGGCAATAAAACAGGGACTGAGTGGATGCGTTTCCATCACAGAAGACTCTCCCAGAAGCAGAGCGGCACTAACTGAATGTCAATTCACCTGAGATGTAATTTCCGTCTCGGGAGCTTCTAGCCCCTGTTCTTTCTGAACGATGCCCCACTTACTTGGGTGCTTTTTAAAAAAAATCAATTTCACATGACAATATTGCCTCGCCTCCCTGACTGATAAAGAACAAATTCCAGGAAACACCACATCAATCTGAGATGACGCTGGCAGGAGGTGGGAGACGAGTCTCTGTATTATCATCTGTTTAGTCAGTTTAACAAAAAGTGAAGACCTTTCTGGGGTACCTAACACTGTGGCAGCAGTAGCCCCCGGCAAGAACATGGTACTGTCTAACCACTGGGACTAATCTCATGGCCCACATGACAACTTCCTCTGTGCCAGGAACTGGGCTGAGTGCTGGACAAGAATCATCTCAGGTAAACAGCCCGTGCCGGTGGAAATGATGTTTTCCCTGGGGGACAGAGACATTTGGTAAGTTCTGCAGTTACACAGCTAACCAGTGGTAGGGGTGGGGTTCAAATCCGCGCCATCCACAACGAGGGTACAAGCTTCCGGTCGCGATGCGGTATGCCCCCCTTCCACACCTCCTGCCCAAGGAAGAGCAAAGTGATAACGCAGAAAACGGGACAAGAAAAAAGGACAGTGGCCAGTGATCCTAGATCCAGCTCTAACCAAAGACCTGGTTAACTCGCCAGTTCTCTCCTGACCTGCCCCATCCCCTCTACTGTGTTCGAAGCTTCCGTTAGCCAGCCAGGCCTCACCCTCTGAGAGGCCAGCAGGCCCGCTCGGTCTGAGCAATGCTCTGTCCCCTGATCCAGGCTGTCCCTTAGCCCCTCCCCTCTCACAGCCCCAATCTCTACCGCCCCAGGACAGCCGTGTCTTAAGATCACAATAAACAAAAGCATAAATATACCAGGGAGCTCTTCCCCCCCACCCCCCCAAGAAAGTATTTTTTAATTTAGATAGAAATCTTGAAAAAGAGTTAGGTACCAATACAAAGAAAAAAAGCTCCCAGATCCATGAACTAAAAACTCTTTTGCAAACCTTAAAAACAAACTGCAAATGTCATAATAAAAATGAGTGCTCTGTATTAACGGAAATGTTCTCCCTGAACCTTCCATTCATTCGTTTTCCCCTCACTGTCCTTTTCTAGAGACCAGCATATGAAATTGTCCTTGAATAGAGAAGACAGAAATGAAAAGATGGACTTGCATCATGGCCTTTCAATTCAGAGAATCAGACTCACAAGCAAATGGATAAAGAGCCACATGACACAGCTTGTCCTAAAGGACTGGTGACTATCGCTGAAAGGAACTGTCCCTTCATTCGCTCAATTACTCGGCCTGCCAACTCACAGCAAGCGATCTGAACTAAAAGCAGAAAAGCCTGCTTTCTGAATGCCAACGTCACCATAAGTTACTGGGAACTTTCACTACTACACACAGCAGTTACTTCTTGAACTCTAAGGGGATTAAATGCATGTTAGTGTTGCAAGAAGCTTTAAACCTCAATCTCCTACAAACCTACCACATTTGATATTAAAATAACAGCTTCTTACTAACTGGTTCTTTTCATTTCCACTCAAATTGCTGGTTCTTTTTATTCCCCCCTCCCCAAAAAAAAGCTATGAGACTGGAAGGATGAATAGATGAAGCTATAATAAAAAATAATTTTAAAAGAAGGGAAGGTGGAGCAAAGAAAGGCAGGGAAATTCCTTTCCCTATGACTCCATTCCACGGTAACAAGAAAACAAACTGATGGTATCAGTTTAAAGAACTTCTCCTATAGAAACATGACCAGGAAAGGAGTATTGACTTCAGTGCCCCACAATGAGAGACAGAAAAGGAATAATTTCTCAGAACAGATTTGATTATGTTCACCAATCTTTGCCCTAAAACCTGTCTCCTTCACAAATTGCTTGAAGGTAAGGTATCAAGAAAATACAAACTGGGCAAGAAAGGAAATGAGCCTCCGAAAGTCAACACGTGTACTAAAAACTCTCCGCAGAGATGTCACTCCACTCGAAGTCAGCCTTCGGGCCATTTCCTGGTCTGGCAGAGACACACGAGACAGGAGAAAACAGAACAGACAGATGCTCACTCTTCCGGTGCCTTACACTATACACACTCTAGGGAAGGGAAATCTTTTTTAAATATTTTTTATAGATTTCAGAGAGGAAGGGAGAGGGAGAGAGAGAGAAACATCAATGATGAGAGAGAATCATCGACCGGCTGCCTCCTGCACGCCCCCTACTGGGGATCAAGCCCGCAACCCAGGCATGTGCCCTTGACCAGAATCAACCCAGGACCCTTCAGTCCGCAGGCCAATGCTCCATCCACTGAGCCAAACTGGCTGGGGCAGGAAGAGAGATATTAACACAACTTCTACCTTCTTTCCCCATTCCCACTTGTTCTGTCCATGATCTAACATTCTTGAGTGTCAGAGACATACAATCAAAACCAGCTTATCGAGTTTCATCGATTAAATTACAACCTAAGAAATATACTTTATGTTTTCCTGAAAGCATTTAATAAGCTCATAAGAAAGATCAAGTTAAAACCAACTGCCAGCAAAGATTATTCCTCCTGCATGATTTCTCCCCAGAGAAAAGGGTAATGTTTTTTAACGATTTGCCCCATGGGTAAATGGTGACCAGTGAATAATCTTAAGGGTACAGAGCGTGCAGACACACCCTGGGCGGGTAGATGCATTATAGCTGTTTCATTTAATCACATATGTAGGTGGCATCACTTAACACATGCACTAATTCCAACTTTATCCACTTTCTCAGCCTACATCGACCTCAAGAAAATACATCTGTCCCTGCCTTGGTCTTCAGGTAACTAGGGTCTGGTTGATTTGGCAAAGAAAATGGGTTACAATTGCACATCATTAACTCTCAATCGCACCCTCCAGACCAATGCTATTCCATAGAACTATCTCCAATAACGAAAACGTTCTCTAGCTGCACTGTCCAAACATGGTAGCCAGTAGCCACCGGAGCTACTGAGCACCTGACATGTAGCTAGTGTGACTGAGGAACTGTATTTTATTTCATCGTAATTGAAAGAGTCACGTGGCCAACAGCTACCCTACTGGAAAGAGCAGCCTGTCCCTGCTGCCCTCGGCCCTGGGATAGAAGGAGGAAACAGGGCTCAGACTCTGAATTCAACCCTGGGAAGTGGCCCCGATTCCGTCTCATAATCCAAGTCTCTCCCCTAAGTCCCTCCAGCCCGCCAAGGTCAATGCTCACAAAGGCGGTTTCTCTCCTCGCTCTCTCCCCAGGACCAGTTCTTTGTGGGCCATCTGCTCACTGGTTTTGGAATCTTAACCAGTAGCTGTTCCCTGTTTTAGGTTCCTATCCATTCTATATGCCCTTTTCTTTCCAAAACTTTCTAATGGCTTTGTTTTTTCCTTACTCTAATTCTATTCATTTCCTGTCCATCATAACATCAACATCCGCCAAACTGCGTTTACATAAAAACCCCTTTTATGACACGAGGGCCAAGTGTAAGTACACATGAACTAACTGCCCGGGGGACGAATTCTTCAAGGCAAAAATGATCACCGATTTATAGCTGGCATAAATGGATTAAGGGTGCAAATGGATTCGTGGTGTAAATGAGTTACACAGATAGTATAATGAATACATTCACTGTCATAAGAATATTTCAAAGGGAGATGATCTCAAGACGAAATGATATTTCAGTCAAACTCTCTAAAACCCTCCCCAGCCCAGAAGTGACACATCCACGCGAGGCTTCCCTGAGCCTCCGTCAGATGCATCCTCGAGCGCCCTGCACACCAAGCATGTCCAGAAGGAGTCTGAGGTCAGAACTTTGTCTACAAAGGAAATGAGAAGGAAATTGTAGGAGATAAAACACAGCTTTAGGTTCTGGCGTGCGTCCAGCTTTGTTCCTTCCAGTCTAATGGCTGAAGGGGTAGGCAAAGGGGAAAAGCAGAGAGAGGCAGCTGGTTTTTTTATCATCGCCCTCACTGAACACAACGTGCCTCAGTCCCCGTCCTCCTTCCCTTTCTCACTGCGGAGTTCAAGGTGGTTTCCCTGGCCTGCGAGCCCTACCACAAAGCGGAGAGAGATGGTTCAAAAGAGCCGAGCCCGGCCGGCTCAGTGGTTGAGCATCGACCTATGAACCGGGAGGTCACGGTTCAATTCCCAGTCAGGGCACATGTCCGGGTTGTGGGCTCGGATCCCCAGTGTGGGGCGTGCAGGAGGCAGCTGATCAATGATTCTCTCTCATCACTGATGTTTCTATCTCTCTCTTCCTCTCCCTTCCTCTCTGAAATCAATAAAGAAAAAAAAAGAGCAGAGAAGACTGAACAGCATCATTCCCAGAAAGCATAATAAAAGTGACCTCAAACATGTTTCACTGTATTATAAAAAATGCAGTTATAGGGCTCTTAGACATCTTCTGGGCAGTGCAAACACACACGCTAGCCCACGGCCCATCCAGGGGGACGGTCCGCACAGACAGGGGAAGCAGACACCCCGTTTCCCTGGAGACCCCAGAGTGAAGGGCGAGCAGCAGGGCCAGGATCAGAGGGCAGGGAGCCCGCCTCCCAGGCCAGCACTCACCCTGCTTAGCCAGGGCATCTCCCTCGTGGCGGCTCATTTATCAAATAATTTCCCCATTACTTCTCTAAACAAGAGCTCGGTGCATCGCCGAGCAGGAGACAAGGCTCTGTCCATTTTAAGCAAAAGAAGACGCACGATGCAGCGCGTGTTATATAATCAACGGAGCGCAGGCCCGCGCTGGCCACGGCCTGGGCAGCACATTCTTTCCCGCAGTGATGTCATTGTATATTCCCCTGGCTGGGGTTCCGGGCATTGCTACCCCCGCCTGCATGCGGCCCGGTCTGTGCAAACCCTTCCAGGCACCATGACAGACAGACATGGATCCCAGCCCCTGGCAGCCAGTCTACAAGCACAGTGTCCGTGCAGGTGTTCTCAGCCCACACCGAGACCACCCCCGCGGCCACGGGTGTAATGCAAGAGTTAGAACCTGGCAGGATTGAACTCAGTCACGGTCAAGCCAAAGCCCAGTCATCTGGGAAATGGAACTAAATCCACATTTTTCCCATTTAGCTGCCATCTGATAGGTTGATTATTTCACCCACAGGCCTCAGCTACTTAAATATCACGAATGCCTGTGCAGCATAAAAATGCTTTCTATAGGAACAAAAACAGACGTGGAAATCAGAACCCCTTTTTCATTGCAATTTAGTAGACATTTTCTTTCAGGACTATCTCTATCTTTTTATTCTTTATACAAGATTTAAAAATAAGACGAAAGGAGTTTTTCGGTAACAGGCACACTTTTCCTATAAAGGGCAAGATAGTACTTTAGGCTTTGGGGGACCCATGGTCCCTGTTACAAATACTCAACTCTGCCCGTGTGACATAAAAGCAGGCACATACGATGCTTAAATGAACAGGCATGGCTGTGTCCCAATAAAACTTTCTTTACAAAAATAGACATGGATCAGATTTAACTCACAGGCCCCATTTGCCAACTCAATCTAGAAAATGATTTTTTTTCTTCCCTTCTCACATTATCTCCAGCTCACGTCAATGAATCATTAAGAAGATAATGACCCAACCGGTGTGGTTCAGTGGTTGAGCTTCGACCTATGAACCAGGAAGTCATGGTTCCATTCCCCGTCAGGGCACATGCCCGGTTTTCGGTCTCAATCCCCAATAGGGGGTGTGCATAAGGCAGCCGATCAATGATTCTCTCTTATCATTGATGTTTCTATCTCCCTCTCCTTTCCTCTCTGAAATCAATGAAAATATTTTTTAAAGAAGATAATGATAAGCTCAATGGCAAACAATGGAGATTTATGAGAACAAAGTTCGAAAGAACATCACCCCGGTACAGATCACCTTTTCCTGAACTAACCAGTGCACAGAGAAGGTCGACCGCCTCCAACACCAGCTCCTGGTGTCCAATTCGAGTGACACCCAGCTCCTCAAGATCCTGATGGGCGATCCGCAGCAGCTGCTCGCCGTTGATCTTCTCTCGCTCAAACTTGTGGACGTACTGCTGCAGGCAGTCATCTAAGCCTACCGGGAAAGCAAAGGAGGTCATCAGTGCCATTGTGTGCCTTTTCTCCAGAAGTCACCATTATGCTCCACTATTCGACTGTCTATATAACATGTATCCCACCTGAGGGACCTTTCAAGTGTGTCCTCATCTTCTCATCTCAGACAGATTTTAAAGGTGCAGCTTAAAGTTTCCAAAGGGAGCCAGTTCAGTTTTATGACACTTACCTTCCCATTCCCTTTCAACTAAAAGAACAAACACTGACCCACTGAGGACCGGCAGTGCCACTTATCTGTACTAGACACATGTGTGATGGTTCGCTAAGCAACTCTTCCTTGGGGGTTCCATCCCTCTCCCAGCCCATGTGATCCCCGTGGGCCTGCCAATCAAGATGCTTTGCCACAGTATTTCACCTACCAGCCAGTATTAGGTTCTGGGATGACCATAGGACTCAAGAGGAACCAATTAAAATCTTCCTTGATATTTGATATATCAAAAGATAGAGGCTCTTTCTTCCTTTCCAAATGGAAGCCATAAAGACACAACCTTGGGGATACTGGCAGTCATTTTCTAGAAATAAATGAGAGAGAGAGAGAGAGAGAGAGAGAGAGAGAGAGAGAGAGAGAGAAAATGCCCCAGAATATCCTACATGCCTGTACCTTGCAACTGAAAAACTTCTGATGAATACAGAATCCAGCAGTGGTACCAGAGAAAGGCAGTTAAATGGGTTAGCTTAGGGGAATTTTCCAGACCAAATACTACTGCCAACAGGGTTGCATTCTAATGTTCTTATATAATGATTAAAACAGGTAAGCCAAATAGAACTTGGGAATCTTTATTCCTGGACAGAGAACTTTCTGGTCAACTTGTTTTAATGGTTTTGCTGAAGTAAAATTTTACTGGAATTGGCTCAACTATTGTAGCCTAATAACAATAGCCATCTAGTGTTTTAAACGACTAGATTGCTATAAACTCAATCCCAACACAAAGGATAAAAACTCAATTTAACTAGAACAATGAATGTGAAAAGCATGCTGCTGTCCCCTCCCCGCCACACACACACACACACACACACACACGCACGCACGCACGCACACACGCACTATGTGGGTCCTCTCTGGACTAGAAAGGTAGATAAAAGTCCAGCACTTACTTCGGGCAATACTAAAGTTTGTGGGTCTTAAAATCTAATGTTCTAGGCTAAACGACATCTCTGCCCCACAAACTTACCCCGATTGCCTGATAAGATATAGGAAGAGGAACAATTTCCTGATAACCATTTGGGGCTATTAAATATAGAAAGAAGAGGTAAGAAACAATGAATTTTATGGTAACCAAATGAGTCATCATTCCTCCCTGAAATGACATCTGTCTAGCAGAAGGGCTCCATCACACAGCAAGCGAGGTTGGGGACATTGATATAAACTTTGCTCCACTTGGACCGCTTTGAGCCACAAGTGGTCTCCATGACATGTGAGTGGAGCAGGTTGTGGAGGCCACACAAGTCAGCAGGCATTTACGGCGATGCTCCACCTGGACCGCAGGGGCTGGGTCTCAGCACTTGGGGCCACCCAGAGCGTGGGCAGAGGGGCAGCATCCATCAGCAGCAGGCAGCTGTGACAATGACCAAGGGCCAAGGAGAGCCTCCAGAGAACTCTATGTCCACCACACACAGATGGCTGAAGTAGGGCTTGTGGACGTATATTACCTATCCACAGTCACAGAGCTTACAAGATGCCAAGAGAAAGATTTTTATAGCAGAGTTTTCTTCAGCTTCATACAGAAGAAAAGAGATTGAATTCAAATCAAGGTCTATTTGACAAAAGGCCCGCTCTTTTGCATTCTACCAACAAACACAGGGTTATAAAAACTCCTCTCCAACCATCTTCCTAAATAATCAGTAAGAATCATGGAATTTTAGACATACTTAGAAGGTACTTCAGATCTCAATGAGTCTAAAAAGTTGGGCAAGTATGGACCAAAGACAAATTCTTTTGAATTTTACCCTAAATCACTTACTAGTACCCAGTTCTAAGCCAGATCATGACCAATAACCCACACTCCTCTCCTTCAGGCTGTTCTCTTCCCTTGCCTATTGTGAAGGCTGAATTGTGTTTCCCCAATAGTCATATGCTGAAGTCCTAACTTCCAGTAGCTCAGAACATGACTATTTGGAGGAAACATCTTTAGAGAGGAAATTACATTAAAATGAAGTCGTATGGATGGACCTGAATCCAATATGACTGGCATTCTTAAAAAAGAGGGGACACAGAGAGTGAAGACCATGTGAGGACACAGGGAGAAGAGGCCGTCTGCAAGCCAAGGAGGGAGGCCTCAGAAGAAACCACCCCTGCTGACTCCTTGATCTCTGACTTCCGGCCTCCAGAACAGCAAGAAAGTAAATTTCTACTGTGTCACCCACCCAGTCTGTGGGCTTTGTTATGGCAGCCCTAGCAAGCCAACATAAACCCAATAACATTTTAATTCATATTCACCCACATGTGATCAACTCTTCCCTTAAACGAAATAAACAAGGTCCAGTGACCAACTGAATTAAAATTCGTGTTCACTGTGCCAAACAGTTTTCATGTGCAGAATAAATTAGTCCATTATAATTAAAGTGAAGAAACCGTGTACAATGGAAGTTCATTAAACTTTATCCCTGAATAAGAAGAAGTAGAAGTAAAGATAAGGCCAGATTTCTCTTTCAACTCACTGTGAAAGTTTCACTGAAGAAGCAGCATTTCGGAAGTAGCTTTAGAGCAAGAAGGAAAAAGTTTAGACACAGAAAAGAGGTTGAGATGGGAGATGGGATGATGATTCCAAATAGGACGAAGGGTGCAAATGATCAGAGATTAAGAACCGACAGAAACAGAACATTTGCCCAAAAAGGGGGCTGGAATCTCCTCGAGGGCTCTGAGGGAATATAAATGATCTCTCCTCAGCTAATCAAACGCTCTCCGACATGTAGGAGAATTACCGTGCAGAAACAGCCTATTGCTTCCCACCCGAAAACAGAACCCAGGGTGAGCTAAGACTTTCCCCTCACGGGACACATATATGAATACACTAGCTTTTAAAGAGTATTGCCCCGTTTCATTATTCCAATACGTTATGGCCTATTGTTCGGTTATCCTATTGTTTCAAAAACAATTAAACATTTATAAATAGCTGAATCAAACTATTATGCAGTCCCACAAAGAAGGGAAACAAAACCCCCAATTTCAAGTAAACTGGGTTTATTGCATCTGCCATAAACCCTACACTCTTACCTATTGGCCTGTTTGCCAGTTCTTTTGCTTTCTGTAAAGGGAACGTACAGAAAGGCTAGCAGGACTGGGAGAAACACATAATTAAGTAAAAGGAAATTAAACACATTCCATTTACACAAATTAAGTTAAGCAGATAATTCAATGTGAAAAGAATCACAAAGCAGAGGCTCCCACAGAACGGGAGCCAGAGAGGGCCCAGACTTCCTCCACCGCCACCAAGCCTGGCTGCAAATACCCCTACGCTTCCAAAGAAGCCCCACGTGCAGAAGGAAAACAATGTTTTATGATTATGAAAAACACTGTCTTATGATTTGTATCAGAAAATGGCAGGGCACAGCTAAGAACCTGATCTCCAGCCTCAGTCCCGCTTCTTGCTAAGGGGATTCCTGGGGCAAGTCCCTCAGCTGCCTCATTTGTAAAACAGGGGTAATAACACCACCTCCTACATGGACCTGAAACAAAAATCAAATGTTAAGCCTGGATGGCGTGGCTCAGTGGTTGAGCCTCGACCTATGAACCAGGAGGTCACGGTTCTATTCCCGGTCAGGGCACATGCCCAGGTTGCACGCTCGCTCTCATCATTGATGTTTCAATCTCTCTCCCTCTCTTCCTCTCTGAAGTCAATCTCTCTCCCTCTCTTCCTCTCTGAAGTCAATAAAAAATATTTTTTTTAATGAGCCCTGCAGCTTAAGGTACCAGCATCCTCTCCAGAGCATCGTCATGGTGCCGCAGCAAATGCAGGTGAAGGACGCAGAGGTCTGCATCTGGTGGAAACACAGGAGACTTTCGGTCTCAGCCCTGCAAAACTGATGTCCAAACAACTTCTAAAGTCTTTAATGCAAAATACAATAGGATTGATAGAGCTTACAAATACTATGGATGAGAAGGAATCAAGTGTTCCGAGATATAAAATTAAGAGGGAAGCTAAACATATAAAATGATAGATATTATAGTAGCAAAAGGTTAAATGTCACTTACTGCGTGGCAGATACCTTTCCAAAACGGAATGTGTATAAATCCCTTCATCTCCCTGATGTCCCCACATAAGTGTCCCACTTTGGAGATGAAGAGCCGGGGCACAGAGACGGGAGGTGACTTGCCCAGGGCCACACAGGACCAGGGCTCACACGCACGGGGACGGGCACCAGGGTCTCTGCTCTTCACCTCCAGAGACTGCCTGTCGATCCTCCAATGCAGAATGTTCACAGATGTCCTCTTAACTGACCCAAGGAAAGTAGAGTTTTATGGAACAGGAAACTGCACAAGTCATTAAGCTGACTCAGTTTACTGCCCACGATGGCCCTCAGAAATGTTAATGGCCATGTAAACACCATTGGGTCAAATGAGAAAATTAAGAAACCGGGGACCACAGCTCCTACATGGGGAGTATGTTATCCACGAGCAGTCTGCAGGATTTGGTGTCCCACGCTCCTTATTAACTCTCTAAAATACAGGTGAGACTGATGGACTCTATTTTTCCCCTAAGAAGTCTGGATGGAATTCTTTTGTAGCCTCTTCACTTTTGAATGTGGCCCTAGAAACTGGTCCTTTAGGCCAGAGGTGACCAGACAGGGTAGTGATACACCAATAAAACTGGCAGCCTTTAAAGGATTAAATATCTGTGGAATTCACAAACCTCTCCACCTATATTTCCCAAAGTTATTTTCCAAAAACCTGAATTTAGAAAAAGACATGCTTCTGTATGCCATGAGCATCCCAGAAAATGACAAAGGCAATACTACGAACAAGAGAGAGAAGTCGCTGTCGGTGCAGGTGCACACCTACGTGTATATCCTGAGGCTACAAAAAAAGAAAAAAACAAACCCTGCCTGTGATCCACTCCCAGAGTAGAGAGCAGTCCACTCACTCGGCTCGTGTACCGACTTGCATCCTACCACAAACAAAGACGAACGCAGCACCTGCCCCACCGGAGCACGCTCCAGCAACGATGCTGCAACACGAGGAAATACCAGGAGACTGGAGGGTCCACTCTACCATAGCCTGGGACTCTGGCTTTGCCCTAAGACAGTGACCTGAGAACTCCCTGAAAGAAAACTTGTGTGGGGAAGGGACAACGCTGAATGAAGAAAGATGTATTATTAAGCTATTCTCCTCCACTTTTTTTCGTTTTTTTGAGGGTTAGAAAGTCTGGGAGTGCTGCTCCATGAAAAAGAGTTAACCAGCCCTGACTGGTTTGGCTCAGTGGATAGAGCGTCGGCCTGCGGACTGAGGGGTCCCGGGTTCGATTCCGGTTGGGGGCATGTACCTTGGTTGCGGGCACATCCCCAGTAGCGGTGTGCAGGAGGCAGCTGATCGATGTTTCTCTCTCATCGATGTTTCTAACTCTCTATCCCTCTCCCTTTCTCTCTGTAAAAAAATCAATAAAATATATTAAAAAAAGAAAAAGAGTTAACCAAAGAGAACGGGGTGGGAATGCAGGAAGCAGGTACCAGACAGAAAGGAGGAAGAGGAAGCTTTGGAGAGTAAATGCAGATTAGATGGCTACTCTACTCCCACTGAGAGCCCAAAGGGCCCTGACAATCATCACCAAGACAGGTCCTTAGGTGAAACAACAGGCACGGAAACCTTTTCCATGGAACGTCCTTCCCCACCCTCACCAACCACCACCACCAGCAGCCCAAAACTCAAGGATATTTCACTCAAACCACCTCCATCCTTTCACTTCCCTGTTTCTTGTTTTGGAAAGGCATGGCAACACCAACAAAACAAAAGCTTTCTGCTTGGGAGTTCTAAAAAAATGAGATTTTCCCCAGAACAAAGATTTCCATCTGAGTCAGCTTCGAGATATATATATACTTAGCATCAAGGAGACACTACCCTACAGCACTTGTGGGAGGAGGGGGGCTTATGAACTCTTTCGGGGATTCCCATGAAAAATATGGTCAGTATGTGGTCCTGATGGGGGCCCACTGATAGAATGACATTTTCTTCTCATGAGCTTCAAAACATCCATTTAGTCATCCAAGCAAAAACCACAGCTCATATTCCTACGAGGGAATTTTGCATGAGGCTTATGCCTGATAGAAAATCACACGTCTGGGATGATATTTTTCTATTAAAAAGTAAGTATTTAATTTGAAATTTATTTTTATGATTATTTATGTATAGTCTATATACATTCTTCCAAAAAGTAGAAAATGACATGTGTATACAGAAGACTAGAATAGTGGTTTAAACTCAAGTCTCAAAATGTGATTCTTTAAGAAACACAGGAAATGCTGAGGATACGCACTATACTAAATGTTCATCTCTCTAGAAAAGTCTTCAGCCAGATCTCTGCCTAGCTGACTTTCTTAGGTACTTATGGTCTCAACTCAAATATCACCTCTCAGTGAAATACTCCCTGACCATTCAATCTAAAAAAAAAAAAGTCCATCTATGTGCCAACTAATGATTGTTGTCACGAACTCCACGCTAACAGAAATCCCCAGTTTGGGTGTGGTGAAGAAGGAAACTATTCAGGACAAACAGCTCAGTGGTGATACAGCACAGCTAGGGAACAGCTCGATAGTATCACAGCTCAATTGTCAAACAGCATGGCTGTGGGACAGCAAAGGTAGGAGGCGGCTCTCAGGCAAGGCCCAGCTCTGCAAGAAGTCCTCCATGTTTCAGCTGCAGCTGGGGAAATGCAGTCTTCAGTCTTCAGTGGAAAGTGCCAGACGATAGCTGACTTATAGACACACACACACACACACACACACACACACACACACACACGTTTCCGCCCCTGGTCCCTGATTGGTCCGTTCTCATGCAGATGTGGATTCCAAATCCTCACAATTTGATTAGTCAGTCCCAAAAGCCATGTCCTGATTGGTTTGAATGGGGCCACTCTGATCGGTTGTAAAGATGCTAATGGGAATGTAGTTGCACAGCTCTGATTGGACAGGGAAAGTCTCAGTCCTATTGGTTGAAATACAATTCCAGAAACTCCTTCATAAGAAAGGACTGGCTCAGCCAGCAGGGACACGGTGCTGGCAGGCACTTTGGTGCAGGCTGCTCTCTGAAATGCGGCTTGCATGGGAGGCCCATTTTCAAACAGCTGGGAGGCTCTGTTCTTACATTTGAGCCCAGTCAGCCACTAGGAACCTTTCTTGGTAGGTATCTTTGTTCTCATATGTATCAAAATCACTTCCTATCATATCAACCTTTTATTTTCTTCTTAAAACATCACTATCTGAAATGACCATGCTTATTAGGCTACTGGTCTTCTGTTTGTCTCCTCCCTCTAAACTGCACCATAAGAGTGTCTTTGCCTATATATCTCCAGCTCCGTGAACAGACTCTTGCTCATAATGGACACTCAGAAAGTAATCGTTGAATTAATGAAGAAGGAATGGATCCACACACTCCAAAACAACCAGAAAATACAGTGGATGTGGTGTCAAACCTGACTTAAAACCCAGCTTGACTTCTTAACTTCCTGTGTGTCTAGGGCAGCTACTTACGTTTATACCTCACTTTCCCTAGCTTCAAACTAAGATAATGTGAAGTACTGTGCTTAAGAGTGCTTTGTAACTTATGAAGTACTCTAATATTGTTATTTAAGACATCTTGAGTCAATATATTTATGAGTGGCATCAAGGAAAGTGTGGATTAGAATACAAATAAGTGAGTTAATCTGGCAAGAGTAAACATTCTCATCTTCCACCCCATTTTGCAACTATGACCTTGGCCAGCTACCGCTCAAGTGTGCGACAATTTGTTTATAAATTATAGTAGAAAGTATAGTGTAAAGACCCAGGTTCAAGTTCCTACTCTACCATTCAACTTCATTAAGTATCGACCTCCTCTATTACATATGAATAACCCACGTATCTTAGAGGACTACTGTGAAGATAAAAACATAATGTCATGCTTTGCACAGCGGGGCAGAACCCACCCATGTCAGTCTATGTTAGAATTCTGGCTCGAAGGCCACATGGGCACCACTGGATAACGCAATTGGCAGTGGTGACAACATAAAGGCTTCTATGAACAGTCACACATTTTTATGCTACCTGATTTTTATATTAATACATAATTCACATACCATAAAATTCACCCATTTAAAGTGTATAATTACGGGATTTCTTGTATATTCAGAGAGCTGTGTGACCACTATCTAATTGGAGAATATTTCCATCATCCCAAAAAGAAACCCATACCCATTATAGCAGACACTCTTCATTCCCTCTTCCATCCAAGCTCTGCAATCACTAACCTTCTTTCTGTCTCAGTGGGTTTGCCTATAATGGACATTTTGTACGGAGCCTTCAGGTCTGGCTTCTTTCACTTAGCACAATCTTTTCAGTTTATCCATATTTTAACATGTTCAATACTTCATTCCTTTTTATGGCTATCCCATTGTATGGTTATACCATCATGTTTAATCCATTCATCAGCTGATAGACACTTAGGTTGTTTCTACTTTTGGCTATTATAAATAATGATGCTATGAGCATTCATGTAAGATTTTTATGTGAACATATGTTTTCAATTCTCTCGAGTATATACCTACCTAGAAATAGAATAGTTGAGTCATATGGTAACTCTATGCTTAACTTTTTGAGGAATTGCCAAAATATTTCCCAAAGGGACTGCACCATTTTTCATTCCTACTAGCAATTTATGAGGGTTTCAATTTCTTCATATCTTCACCAACACTTGTTATTATCCATCTTTTTTTATTAGAGCCATACAAGTGGGTATGAAGTAATATTTTATGGTGTCATCAGATTTTAACATCCAAATTTAAAATAGGCCCTTAGAAATAGAAACCAAATGCCAGAGAGCAGGGGGAAAATCCAGATTACACCAAGGCAGTATTCCCAATCTTCAGTCATTCAAGAACCAACTTTCTGATTTTGCCAAATTTGAGTGTCATTTCTACTATTATGTATTTAGGTTTTTTAAAATATGTTTTTATTGATTTTTTAGACGGGGAGGGGGGAGGGAGAAGAATAGAGAGATAGAAACATCAATGAGAGAGGAATATCATCAATATGCTGCCTCTTGCATTGCCCCTACTGGGGGTCAAGCACACAACCCAGGCATGTGCCCTGACCAGGAATCGAACCAACGACCTCTTGGTTCCTGGGTCAATGCTCAACCGCTGAGCCACACTGGCTGGGCTAAGTACTTATTTTTTTTAAAAATGGATTTAAACATCGTTAGTCTTTAAATCACTGCTATAAATTGGTATCACTTGCCATAAATAGAAAGTACCGCAAACATAAATATGAAAAAATAATTAGCTGGATATAATTGTCTCCCAGGTCCTGCTTCTTCATGTTAAAAGGGAAATTGCAAGTGACAGGTGTTGAAGAAATGTTAGTTGCAGTCTTCCTTTGAATTAGTCAGACAATCTAAAATCATCTCTAGGGCTAGCTATCACAGGCTCCTCAACTTGGAAGATGGCTGTAACATTTCAGGAAATACCTTTCGTGAAAAAAGAAAATAAAAAAAATCAGTTCCATAATGATAATTATACTGGGGGGTTTGCAAGGACAATGCCCCAAACAAGTGTCATATTTGGGTCGCTCGTTACACTTGGCTGAGGGGTGTCCCTTCTTCGTGTTCAAATTTCCAATAAGTCTGACCATGCTCTCGCTGCAAGCACCTGGCTCTTCAAGTTTCAACAAAAACAACTTTCCGAGCAAATATACATAATACAGATGAAAATAAAGAGCACCTGCCACTGGGTAGGCAAGCCCAGGCAACGCGACCTACAATGCGACACAGTGCCTGGACGGGCCTGACTGACAGCACTGGCCCCGAGTGTAAGAAAAACACAATGCCTGATTGTGATCAAATTCTTCCAGCCTCCCTCCGCCAGCCTGACGAACACACAAGTTAGATAAAAAACATTCAGGGACAGCATAATTGGGCACCTCCAGATTTGAAGACTAATTATCATCTGTCATCATCCAAGCTTAATAAAATACTAAGTAGCATCATGCATTAAAGAAAAAGAGTGAGTGTTACATTTAAAGATATTCCACTGACTCCCTGGTTGGACACTCCTACTGAGCCCTCAGCTCAAACATTCCTTCCAATGGGAATACTTCCCCGGCTCTCAACACTAAATCTCGCTTATTATGAATCATGACACCTTTGCTTTCTCTTCATAACACATCTCACTTTATAACTTAACTAGAGGCCCGATGCACGAAATTTGTGCAAAAGGCTCGGCCCTCACAGCTGTGGCAGCTTGCCTCAGCCCTCGCAGCCCCAGCTTTGTCCGAGAGGTTGTCCGGAAGGTCGTTCGGCTGTCCAGTCTAATTAGCATACTACGCTTTTATTATTATACATATTTGCATGAGTGGTGTCTATCTCCCCAACATTGATAAGCTTCAGGGAAACTAGAACCAGGTTGGTTTTGTCTGTCATCATGCCCTCAATATCTAGGACCGTTCTTGGCATAGAGTAACTACTCAAGAATTATTTGTTGAATGAATGAATTCAAAGGATGTCAAAGTTGTTATTCATTGTAAAGATTGGCCATGTTTAGAATGACCACTGAGAGTACATTTCAAAAAGGCAAAAGGACACAGGGCAGGAGCTCTTCAACTTCATGAGCTTCCTGCTGACGGACCACAGTCCAGTCCATCCCATGCAACAGAAGCCTCCCTTTCTTCCATGTAATTTCCAAACAACTAAGTTAGATTCTTGAGTCTATTGATGATCTGCTATGAAGTTTCTGCTGGTCAGTGGAGAAGGAGTTGGTGACAAGGAAGGGAAAAAGGCAAGAAAATGTAAGTTTGTTGAGTGCTTAGAATCAGTCACATATTCCTTATTTAATCCACAAAAACCCTTGTTATCACTATGATCCAACTTAGACTTGTAAAATTTAGTGACTGGCTCAAAGTCACACAACTAATTAGTGGTCAAACAGGAACAAGTATTCAGTTCTTTGTAAGTTGAAGAAGTTACACAAGTGACATAGAGAACATACAAGTTGGAATAGGCCTAAAAGAACAGACAAGAGCTAGCTGAAAGTGGGAGGGGAGGGCATTATAATACAACTACTTGTAGAAGCTAATGCTTATTGACCATTTCCCATGTGCTAGAAACAGAATCAGAGCATCTGACACACTTCATATAAACTCTATGAGGCAGGCATCCCTATATCCCCATTTTACAGAGTGGCTTAAGAAACACAGCCTGACAAAGGTCAGATCCCTGGTACATGTCTGACACCGAACCCTCAACCTGTATGAGATTGTAGAGAGCACTTCCCCCTCCTCCATCACTCATCATGATGCTGGGAGAGAGCAGTGTGAAGTAGGTCTCAGAGGAGAAAGGAGGAAATTATGCAGTGCATGCATTTAGTAAGTGCCTATTATATATCAAGAAGATGCATGAAGTGTGGTGAGCAGAGGTGAATGACTTAGCCCAGGCCCTCTAGGAGTCTATATGGGTGAAAGAGAAGGAAGACAGAGCAGGTCTTAAGAAGGTAGGGTCTGGAGCCAAGTCATCTGCATTCAAATACTGACTAGTTATTCAACCTTGGACAATCACTTAATTCCCCTGTGACTCAGTTTCCTCTACTACGAAATGGCAAGGATAATAGTACCTGATGGGGCTGTTATAAAGAAAACTGGGTTAATAAATAAAAGCCTTAACACATACCTGGCACACAAAAAGCACACACAAATACTACCTATTATCATATGCAGAACTAATGAAAAATAAGATTAGATGGAACAGGAATGGCCAAATCAAAGGACTATGGAAGGCAAGGGGATTGCAGTAGTATCTGAAGAATGTGCTAGATGGACAGAGGCTGGGTAAAGTCGGAGACTCCCTCGGACAAGCCTCTGAGCAATCCGTTGAGAAGTGATGGGAGCCCAGGGCACATGGGAATGAGGGCATCACAAGAGAAAAAAATGGACAGGATCAGATGACAGACTAGAGATGTCATACGAAAGGCCAAAGTTAATCAAAGATGAACCCAAGAGTTTGAACTAGGTTAACTGTAAGAATTCAAACTCTACCCAGACTGAAAATGGCAACTTAAGAGGGTGAACAGATCTGAAAAGGGAGAGAAGTGTAGGAAGAAGATGAGGTAATGCATTTCCTCCTGCACCTGCTGAGCTGATTGTAAGTGAGTCAGTAAGTGGGCACAGCCTGTGGGCACCAAGAGGCTCCAGACAGGAGCCCTGAGTAAGGGCTGGTCCAAGAAAATGATACCATTTACTGAGCATAGTCTAGGCTTCTATAGTACATGGTCAAATGCAAGTCTCATTTACCTTTCTAAAGAGTCGACAAGATCAGTCTGATTACCTCCCTGCCTTTTATGAGGGAGTGGATGTTAGAGAGACTCAGAAAAATTGCTGAAGATGACACCCCTAGAAAGTGGTAGAACTGGTCTTGAGCTCCAAGTTCATCCAACCCCAGAACCCATTGTCTTCCCACCCGGAGGCTCAGAGAGAGAAGCCGGGAGAATGAACAAGCTCTCTTGAGAACAGAACAAATCAGAGTTGCAACACACATCTGGCCCTTTTCCACCTCCCCAGCCTGGGCATTATGCTCCTCTTGGCCAGCTCTCCCTCGCTTTCTGTAACACAGCAATTGTACTCATTAGTCAAGATCCAACACTAATCCTCCCCACTCCATGAACCGCCCCCTCCCCACGTGGAAGTGATCACCTGTCTCACCTCCCGTAGGTCCTGCTGTCCACCCCACCCACCTGGCGTGTACAGACAATCTTGAACTCAGGTATGCTAACCTGGACACCACATGCAACACCTCTGACAAACAGGGCTGATCCCACTGCTGTACCTTCCCTGGGGCCTCTTCCCGTCAGCTCTGAGTTATGTTGGAAGCTGTCCCCTCAGTTCAAGGTCAACCTTTAACTGATTCTCTTCCATTGCCTCCTCTTCCAAACTAGAATTTGAATTTCTAGGAAGAAGTCATTTCCCCACATTGCTCACAATGCCTTGCACATGGTAGATGCCCAATAAATTATCATCGTTATTGAAGATAAAAAACAAACCTTTAGTATAGTAACAGCTCCAGCCACCTCACCTCACACCCCTTGGGACCCAATGGTAAGCCAAGAGCCCTCTAGACAAACAGCGTAAGAGGCCTGGGGGTTTATTTTTCACTCTGCAAACCCAGCAGTGTGGCCAATAGAAATAACAGTATAATTTTGTTCAGATATGGATGGTTTAATATTAGGAAGAATTGAAAAATATGAGTCCTTTGTTCTCTGAAATGTTAAGCCTAGATGATAAGTACATTCACAGGACTCACCCAGGACTTCTCACACAAGGCCTCACCCAAAGCCTACTTAATCTCGTTTTAGAAAGCAAGTAAGTTATTCTGTTTCCCAGCCTTCAGAGAGACAAGTTGAGTCGATTTAAGAAAGGCACACTCGGTGTGCTGGTAGGAGCATCTGCTACCTAAAAACCCGGGGCAGCTGAAAAGATGACATTCCAGAGTCGCTCACCAAGACAGACACAGCGCCACTACATTATTCTTACGGTAAACAAACGCTTCAGTAATTACGTAAAATTCATGGAATGTTGAATGCACTCTGTTTCTGAACACAAGAAAGTAAATCATTTGTTTTAGAATGATTTCTAGCCAAAATGAGTGGAAAATAAAAAATATCCAAGTCTTAAAGTGATAACGTCCAGTTAGTTCCCAGGAAAATGTATGCACTGGAACTCCTCCAAGCCCAATCAACAGGCTGGTACATCATATCACTTATCTCTGAAAAGTTGCAGAATGTTCACTTTCTTATCTTTTTTCATTTTGCAGACAACCTAACTGCAAGACACAAATAGGTATGAGATCGGCTATCACAAAGTCTATTAAAACCTATTTTTACATAAGGAACTCATTTTGTTTCAAAGTATTCGATGCATTTCAAAGGAAGATCATTAAATTGAGATCAAGTCTTTCTATCATTGAATTATCAATAAATGGAAAAAAATGATCACAATCATGTGCCACTTCCCAGGGCTATATTTCAAGAAATTCAATATGAGGCAGTTTATTCTTGTGTGTGCCCTCACACAAACCTAGACCGTATAGACTCTACACACCTAGGCTGCGCTAAATGGGACAGCCTGCACAGCATGTCACTGCAGAAAACGACAGGAGACTGAATCAAGCACAAGAGAACATGCTTCTTCCAAGAGACACAGTAAACATGAGCTCTATGAGGTTGCTACTGGTATAACACTTTTACAGAAAACTTGTTTTTTTATATATAAGTATAAAGAGCACACTCCAAAATAATGATGAAATGTATAGTATAGTAAATACACGAACCTGTAGCATAGTCATTTATTACCACTATCCAGTATTACGTTCTGTACATAGTTGTCTGTGCCATGCTGCCAGTTAGCAGCTACAGGTCTGTTTACAGCAGCAGCATCACAAACAGGTGAGGAACGCGTTGTACTAGAACACTACCATGGCGACAT